CTGCGAAACATTCTTTTTACTTATTCTTTTCCTACAGTATTTATGGGTAACAGCTAAATTTGCAAAAAAAAGAACAAAATTTACAGGGTACCTCCCAAAAAATACTTCACAAACAAAACACACGAATCAATTGAACATGTGATGTCGAAAGTGAACTGTAAACATTGCATAACTCCTCGCCACGCTACACTTAAAACGTTGAGGATGGATTCAAAACATTGAGGATGAAATCATGTTATAACCAACATTCATATGCAAAATTTCGCGTTTTACAAACAGCGTTCCTCTATTCATCAATCGCGTTACAACCAATTCGCGTTGACAAAACACACGTTGTAGCAGAAATGACTGTATATGCAAAGAGTAACTGACGTCTAATGGAAAGGTAGATGAGAAGAGAGGGGATTCGATGAGGGGGGAATAAGAGGGTAGGCTGGGTGAGGTGGGTGGTCAAGGTGCAAATGGACACAAGAAGATCAAAGGGAAAGTCCACTGTTATGGCCACTGACACCTGACATTACATCAACTCATGAGACCTCTCGGTATGTGACCTTGTGGTGTCTCCCCACACCGTACCCTTCACTGCTCCACCCACACCATACCCTACACAACTCTTTTAATATAGTTAATAATTAGTTAATTAATTAAAAAATATATATATTATTAGTTTGCCACAATCAAAATCTTTGTTTGTTTGTTTGGGGCATGTAACGAATAACGATTTTTTTTTCCAATTGTATTGGAGTAAAAGTATTAGAAAACCATACTTAAGTAGAAGTAAAAGTACTAAAAATTTTTAGTACTTTTTAAAAAGTAGATACCCAAAATGTTACTTGAGTACAGTACTCAAGTAAATTTATTTCGTTACTTTACAACTCTGGTTATGGTTTAGAGGTTAAGAGGAAAGGAGAGGGCTTTTGCAACTAGTACCACACAGTATTTAACAAGAAGGGATATAAACAAGTAAGGTAAAACATATATTAGGAGTAAAATGTGTAACCACATATTTAAGAAGTAGTCCAAGCTCACTTGAATCCAAACTAAGATTCAGGTGATGATTTTATGCTAGAAGAGACTCTACACACATGAAGAACTAGTGTTATCAGCATTTAAGCCAAAGCCACATGCAGTATTTAATGGTGACTTACTGAACTTCCCAGAATCACTATATTATCTGAAAAACAAAGTATCAATATGATACAGCCAGATACATAGTTTGACCTGGATTACAAAAACTTAAAACTGATGGTTAATGAAATATGATTGTGTGAAGGCAGCCAATCACAAATGAACTAACAATTTGTCGTCAGCTCAACCTCTGTACCCTGTCACCTGCTCTCACACATCGGTCCCGTCATCCCTTGGACCCTCTCTCCCCCTCACTTGTGAGTACTTCAGAATCATGCTTCAATACTCCCTGGGTTCATACATCAAGAAGAGAGAGGATTGGCAACACTAACTGTACCTGATGGAAATGTAGGCAACTGTACCTTGAATTATGACAATAGGTCCCATATATTTATTCACTGCTAAAAGAGTAAAATTGGATTATACATGAGCAGTTATCATCGACAATGATACTGTATCATGGTATTTGGCATCTCGCTACGTGAGTCAATCAGCAATATCCACAACTCTTCACAAGCAACAATCTGATAGGAATATATTTTAGGTGGAAGCTGAACAGAGAAAGACCTGTTTCACCAACTTCAAAACACAGTTCCACTTTTTTTTTCAAATTCTGAATTGGAGATATTTTAAATATTTTGGCAGAGGGTATTCAAAAGAATACTTGCTAGATATTTGACATATTTCCTAAACCTTTCACTGTGGGTGGTAAATTTATGTTTGCTAATTTCTTTATCCATTCACTGCAGCTGCTAAATATTGAGTTTCTAGCTTTCAAAACAGCTGTGTCAAGTGTTAGATGTATTAGATGCAATGTTGTCTACTGACACCCTACAATGTGTTTCCACCTAAGTGCCAGTCACCCCTAGATAATAAAGAGGCCTATATGAAAGTATCATGCTACCTTGGAAGAAAAGAAAATCCATAAGATTTTATTAATTCTAATGAATTGGTAAAGGAGAAACAAGAAAAACACAAAAGACAACTAAAGACAGTGTATTCATGTGGTCAGCAGCATTGAGTGCACCAGCAGATGATACACTGCATAGCAACACTAAATGAATGATTCCTATGGAGATTTATATTTTTGTGATATGGGATAAGTACAGGTACTATAGTGCTCATAAAAGATCTGAACAATTTGATTCTTTAATATTTTCCATACAAATTAAGATATACAGCTAGAACCATGTGTAAACGATAGAGCAACCATCAAAGTTTACTATTAATCAGTTTGCTTGATTATTGACTGATTGACAACTAATTTTATTGGTATTGTAATTTTTGTTTGTTTCAGATAGTGTCAGTGCATGTAATCCCAATTATGCCAAATGAACAGAAGGCACAATACATCAAATGGTTTATTGAATCCAAATCTGTTACCCAAACTCAGCAGACCTTCCATACAACATACAGAAAGGATCCTCCATCAAAAACAGTATCCGAGACTGGTTTAAAAAGTTTAAAGAAATCGGAAGTGTCCTACACAAGTAATGGTATGGTCATCCAAGCACTCCTAATGAAGTGGTCGAGAGGATACAAGTGTCCTTTGCACACAGCCACCGAAAATCATTCAGGAGAGCATCAAGAGAGCTACAGGTTCTACCCGCAATTGTACACAAAGTTTTACACAACAGACTTGGTCTGTATGGTTTAAGTGCAGATTGTGCACTGAAACCAGATGACAAGCGTAAATGGAAGTCCTTTGTGGAGAACATGCTGGCCAGAAAGGACACCGACTCCTAGAGGACACACTGGTCAGAATGGACACTGACAACGGATTCCTCAAAAGTCATGTTCTAAGATGAGGCAACATTACACTATTGCAGGGATGGTAAACCGACATAATGTTAGAATCTGGGGTTCAAAGAATCCCCAAGAGGTGCTAGAAATTGAATGCAACAGCCCTAAAATTAACGTCTGGTGCAGTTTCATGCATGATTGTCTGATTGGGATATTCTTTTTTACTAAGGGTACCATGATATCAATCTTCTATCTTGACATGCTGGAGCAATTTGTACTTCTATAAATACAACAAATTGCAGCCCCACAAAATCTTCCAGCAAGATGGAGCACCTCCACATGGGGCTCTGGTTATGCTTGAGGCTCTCAATGAAAATTTTCAAAGTTGCTGGACATTACGCCATTGGACTTCTTCCTCTCGGGTTTTGTTAGAGATGTTGTGTACAAGACCAAGGTTGCCAACATCCATGAACTACAAATTAGGATCAGAGATGCAATAGCGATGGTTGATACTGGCATGCTTGAACGTACATGGTGAGAAATTGAATATTGATAGGATGTTGAATGGGTAACCAATGGCACACATGTTGAAGTGTATTAGACTTGTGTGAAAAACTTTAATAGTTACTCTATTGCTTACACATCATAATTTTAGCTTTATATCTAAATTAGTAGGGAAAATATTAAAGCATCAAATCTTTACTGAATTTTACCAAATCCAATTAGACTGGATTAGAGGAAGTTTATTGTATACGTATATTAATATTAAAAAATCCACAGGAGCTGGCTGGCAGGTCTTCAGCTTGCCACAGTGAAAAGGTTAAGAAATAATAGAACTGATTTCTGTCTTAAGCATTCTCCTGTCAGGACTGTGGAGAGAGAGGGAGAGAGAAGGAAAAATTTTAAAATAATAAATACAGTACAGTATTCTGATACAGTGGAGTCATAATAATTCGCAAGTTAGGTACCCAAAGACATAGTGTATTATTAAATTGCAAATTATAGTATATTTGATTTAAATGGATAAAATTAATTTGGTCCAGAGGCCAAGAAATATGCATAAACTGTTCTAAAACTGCCTTAATAAACACCCAAAAATTTACAATCTCACAAAAACTTCTTGAACCCCTGAGAATGCACAAAATGGGACTTGTCATCTCAGAATGGTTTCAGATTCTTCGTTCATATTTCAGATTGCATAGTGCTTATAGCGTACAAGAAGTTTTTGCTGAGAGTGTACATAATACAGTAGTGTCGATATAACACGAGACACGTTCCAAGAGAGGTCGCTTTAAACCGAATTCGCACGATATCGAAGTGTTGTTTCAGTGGAATAATTTAGTTTGGTACTTGAGAGGAACACAAAATACTAAAAAGACTGGGAGTCTACCCAGATGTACCTCAGCCCATCTCCTAGAATAAACAAAACATTGATTTTTGTTGTATTATGCTAAAACAAACACTCATAAATCAACAGCTAAAATTATGGGACGTGAAATGGTCTGTGTACTAGTGATCAGCTGATGGGAAGATGGGGTGGGGGGGGGAGGTGAGGTGATATGTTTGACAGTTGATGCCAAGGTCTAGTGCTTATTTATTTATCTGTCCTTAAGAGTGACTTTAAGTTTCTTCTCTTACAAAATGTCACAACTGACATGGGAGAATTTAATTAACATTGCTGGAAATCTTATAAGATAGTGATTAGTTTGAATATATACATGCTATAGTTCACATTAGACATACACATTTTAGTTCTAATTAATTTTATTACAAAGGGCTAAAATTTTTATCTCTTGTGCAAAATATATAACGTTTATATTCAAATTATTTGCTGTCTTGTAAGGATTCTAGCAATGAAAATTATATTCTCCTAACTTTAGTCTGTGATATTATATAAGATAAAAACTTAAACCCTATAACCACAAAACCCTGGCTGGGAAGGTGAGGGAGAGGGAGGGAGGGAAGCGACAGTGACATGTTTGACAGTTGCGCCGACGGTATAGTGAAGTATTTATTTGTTTATTTACCGGATGTACTTTAGATTGAGTTTTTGTTTTTTATTTAAAAAATGTCACAGAAGTGACCGGGGAGAATATAATTTACATTGCTGGAATTCTTATAAAATAGTGATTAATTTGAATATAATCATGCTATAGTTTGCACTAGACAAAAATTTTAGTAATCATTTAGTACATTATTTTGAGTACATGTACAGTACAGCTTTGCCCTTAGGACAGTGTAGCGTGCCCAGAGAGACATTAGGCACAAATTTTAGAATATTATGCGCCAGATTGACTCACGCAAAATAGGAAAGATTCGCTTTAAATTAAATTTTTTTTCCTTAATTGTGGGCGTCACTTTAAATCAATACTCTTAAATTGAATCGCTTTAAATCGATGTTCTACGGTAGTAGTGTACTTAAAAAATTGTCACCCATAGATATATAGTAATGCAAAAAGTAGTTTTATATTACATAAACAGGTAGTTTCCTTCTCATAATTTAGTGTGAGTTATGCCAACACACCAACAAGGAGACAGGAAGGTGCTGGGCTGGCTGTGACCACACATGTCAACAAAAAACATGAATTAAATACTGTACCCCACAATAACTCATCTGGACTGAGTTTGCAATTTTTGCAGGGTGAAAATGTTATTACTTTATGATAATTTGTATTAATCAGGCAACAAATGAACCTAAATAATTATGGGTATTATGGTAAAATTGTATAACGTTGTATCAATGAGGTAGGAGGCGGAGGGGCACCGAGCGCTTGGGAATAGGAGCATTGAATTGATATTTCCACAACCTTTATGGTTTCTTACATAAACAAACACTACAGCAGTCAGCGCTCGGCTGCGAAAATTAAAAGAGGTAGTAATAGAGGTACCTGTGAATTATTAAGACTCAACTGTATTCATAAAAAACACTCTCCAAAGTTAAGAAGGATCCACCTTTGACATGAACTTATAACATGACCACACATGGATGTACAACTTCATTACAAATGACTTTGTAAATGCAAGGCAGAAAAATATAACCTTTTACTCTCATATGAATTCATACATTATCATAATATGTCCATTCATTAAGGCAAAAAATTTAACAAATTAAAATGTACTATTTTAGGATTATCTATAAAACCAATATAAATAAGGATGAAAATTATAAGCACAGTAAGAGTGAGAACATTGCTATGTGTTATAACTGAGGCAGACAGCACAGCTTAGATAATTCTCAACATTCTACTGCATATAAGATGACGACTGTAATGACTCATTCACTGGAAATATTCAACCTTCCATATCTATGCAAGTAATACCCTTAAAAAAATAATAATAATAATTTATGATATATCCATCATCAATCCTTTTCCGAGTAATATATATTCAATTTAGCCCGATAATAAATGAATGGGTCAGAGCCAGAGACTGCTCTCTGACAAATACTGCGGAATTAAACACGTTACCTCCCAAGCTTTTGGACTCTTCTCTTAAACTGGTACTGTATTTGTAATGGTGCCACGTACTGAATACCAATGAGGGCTAGAAAAGAATCTTTTATGTATCATTAACTTCTATGAACCTAAGTAATTTTGGAAAGGAATGTCAGATAGTAGACTGGTTCTGATCCACTCAAATGATGACGTATATATTATTTTCCTGTACTCTGTGTTCAGGTTTACTAGTCCAAGAGAAAGCAAACATACACTCAACTACTTAAATATCAGACCACACACAAAACAAATACTGTAGTTTAATACATAAAAGCAAATATAAAACAAATATAATAATTGCAGAGGTATGTGCCATTTTTCAATTTACAAATGGATTTTTTTCCTACAAGCACAAAAGTTTATCAATCAAACCATGAGCAGTAATAATTACAAATTTATGATAATAAAAGAGAAATAAACAGTTTTGGATGAAGAATCTTTGGTAACATGAAGATGGTTGTTTCCAATATAGAGCACCACAAAGTCGAAGCCAATTCATGAATTTGCTTCTAAATATATCATTTTCACTTATGATTACACACCTTTTCACACATTATGAAATTAAATGACATTCACTCCTCATCACCTCTTCTCAGCATAACCTTCGGTCAAACGTGCATGTGAAAAAATATAGTCTTCTCAATGTGACGAGCAGAAACCCTGGTGTAAATCATTATCACTTCTAATAAAACTTATTGACACTCATCTTGAAATTTTAGGTGTAAAACAAATATCTGCCTTAGTGTCACATTCTAAATGTGTGTGTGTGTGTGTGTGTGTGTGTGTGTGTGTGTGTGTGTGTGTCTATGTGTTTAGCGCACATGCGCCTAAACTCTTAAAGACTAGAATTAAATAATGCTCAAGATTTCCCCTGCATCATAAAATGTCAACTTGTTTACTGAAGGATTTCTTTTTAATTTTACATGTAAGGACTGCTACAAATGTTGCCTTACAGTGCATTTCAGGTAAAATGACATTCATGAAATTGCTTTTGCTTATTTTCAAAAGGATATGTTGACTAGCATTAGGTATAAACAAATGTAATTTTTTTTTGCCATAATTTGAATGGATAATGGTTCTATTGAGTTCCAATGCCCTCAAGCAGCACTGGCAATTATTCACTCTTATTTTGTCAGTACAACTTACAATAAAATCACCAATAAATCACTGGCAGAAATTCATAAATATTATAGGACCATAAATGCCATATGTTTTCTAAGGCCACAGGTCTGACATTTTACATTTGTCTGGGTGCATTCTTTTCATATGGTTTTGTAAAAGAAATTTTCTTGTAAATGCTGTTGGACATATCTTACACTGAAATGGCTTTTCACCAGTATGAAGAATAACATGCCGTTTCAAATCTGTTGACCAACCAAATCTTCTGTTACAATAACAACACACATACTTCCTGGCTTCATACTTGACAATATCAACTCCCTGGATGCTTTTACCCTTTGATCTGACGGGTACTTTTTTAATAGTGACTTTATCATTTGAAACAGTCGCAGTACTGGGACTGAACTGACTGGCTTGATTGGCACTATTAGAAGCGTCCAGATTTTCATCTTCCATTGTTACAGCACACAAGCTGAGTGGATCCATCACATCATCGTCTCCTTCCTTCTCATCGTCAATTACCATACCTTCATCATCATCTTCTGATTCCTCAAAATCTTTAGAGTATAAATTTTCACACTTTGCTCTGTTCTTCTCAAATGGGAATGGTAAAGGTACTTCAATTCCATTAACCATGTTTGATGAATCTGCTGCAATACTGAATTTCACTCCACTATCACTACTCTTTGGATCTTTGGGCTGTAGAAGATACAATTTTACAACTTGAGAAGGTGCAGATGACGACTTTGGACCACTTGGAACTTGAGGACTAGGAATTGGTGCTGCTGCCTTTAACAAAGACACCTTTTTACTTAAATCCACCTGAGGCACAATGGTAAGAATATCAGGATTTTTTGTGCCCTCTTTCTGTGTATTAACAAAACTACTCCCTTCCATTTGAGGCAAGATGGTGAGGTTGTTTGTCAAATGACTAGCAATAGGCCGGATGGTGGTTGTATTGGTAGTACTAGTGCCTGTATCTAGAGTGCTAGGTAATGATGACACAATTCGTAAAGCGAGGTTAGAGTTTATCATCACCAAGCCATCCTTTTCTAGGACACCATCAACCGGAGTGGAGGTTTTCACAGGCAGGTGAGTTGGTGTCATCATACTTATTGGAGCATGATTCATTTTGGATGCTCTTGGGCTTAGGTTCTGTCCTACTGCAGTTAAATTGTCCATAGGAATCAAGGCAATGTGACTAGGAGCAGAAGAGGATGCTTTCGTACTTGTGACAACTGGTCGAACTTGAATTGCTGATGCTGTAGACGACACTAGCGGTTGGATTTGGACTGCTGATTGTGAAGATGATACTAATGGTTGAATGTGAACAGCTGAATGTGAAGATGATACCAATGGTTGAATTTGAACAGCTGACTGAGATGATGTTATTGGTTGAATTTGGACTGTTGATTGAGATGATACTAAAGGTTGAATTTGGACTGTAGAATGAGATGATACTACAGGGTGAATCTGAACATGCTGTGCAGAATTATCAGCTCTGATTGTGATTTTTGGAACCTGTTGTGGTTTTACTGTGACCACATCAAGAGATCTACTGTTCTGTGGTTGTATTGTTATCTGTGGAGTAGGAGAACTTGAAAGTTTTCGAACAACAGGCTGTGGATTAACTTGTGGGGAATGGGGGGTAGTTTGTCCATCACTGGCTGTCATTTTTGGCAAGATGTTGACAAATTTGTCTTTCTTTAAGGTTGGGGGAGTGTGAGTTTTGGGCTTAAGCCTGGGTATTGGTATTTTGAGAATGACATCTCCATTAGTACCCATATAGTCCTCTGTCCTCACTACGTGTGGTGTAATCGTCAATTCCTGTCTCCCCGCTGTATCTGACAAGGATATTGGCAAACTTGTTTCTGCACAGCCCATTCCCTTCTCTACATTTTTATCACTTTCTGGAGACTGTGATATAAATAAAGACATAGTGGGTTTATCCCATGGTACAATCAGATCTTGTAGAAGAATGGGAGGCAAACAGTTTTCTCGCGACCGTGCTCCATGTGTTCCAAAGTGCCACAGAAGTGACCGTACAGTGCAGAACTGCATGGGGCATTCAGGACACTTCAGAGGAGTTTTGATAGCTGAAAAAAAGTTGTACAATAAAAACAAAATTCACTTACATAGTTTTCCCCATACATTATGTAAATATTTTCCCATTACAGTACTTACCTTGGAAGTGTGTAAAACCCTCCTCCACCCAACCACAATTCTGAATCTTTCTTTACCGTTACACGGTAATTATATCTCTTAACAATAATCCCCCATGTAGCTTTTCCACTAAGAATCAGACAAATAATCTATCTATTACGTGTCACCTGTCCACTTTCTGCATTTTTTACCAACCAATAAAAATTACAGAAAGTGATTACCGTATATACTCGAGTACCTGTACACAACTGTGCAGTTGTGTTAAACTCTCATTCAGCTTTTTGTTAATGGTTTTAGCTTTTTTCATCGAAATTGTATACAAATGTTGTTTCAAGTAGGAAAATAGTTAAATAACATAAGAATGGTGGGTGGTATGGTTTATAAATGCAGGTAAATGAGGTACAGGGTGTTGTGAGTTTGCTTCAGCCCTTTGACTTACTGTGTAGGCCATTACCTTACATCAGTGATAATATTCTTTACTTTTTTAATATTATTGCTTGTTTTCCAGTATTTTATATTATTTTTGTATTTATAATAGTAACACAAGACTTGTCACTACACTATAGCCACATTCCCCTAGCCATCTACATACCACTCCAGGCCGAGCTGTAACCTATGTTATGGATTATTTTTTTAACTTGTAATTTTCGGGAGATACTATATACAGGTATATGTAATTTTCTTCAATTTTTTTTTTTACTATGTTACATGGATACACTATTTTACATAAATAATGTGCAAAAACAAAACATATAAATTAAAAACTATAAAAGGGAATAAACTTTCTTCATGTGTTCAGAGTTCACGCTCATTGGGGTAGGTGGGAGTGTGTGCGATCTCAGCTGTTCTGAGTTGTCTTCCAGGTGTAGTGAAATGACTCACAAATTAGTCGGATAGCAGCCAAATGACAGTACAGGTACTTGTACTGTACAGTATATTTTTATTAGTATTATTTTGATTTATTCTCCATATTTACTGGTATATATTATTTTATCTTATTCCTCATTGGAATTGGTAACTAGTGGGAATTCAGTTTCAGAGTTGGAAACACTGTTCATAGTGTCAACTGTGGTGGTGGTGACGTCCAAGATGAGTTGGTGTGAATTTGGTGTTTTGCTACAAATTATGTTGAGGATAATACCAAGTATTTATCAAAAGCTAGAGTCGAATTATACCAAAGATATATGAAAAACTCAGGCTTTTTTAGCCCCATAAATCAGAGGTTGAACTACATATGTGATCGGCGTATACACGAGTATATACGGTAGTTGCTCATTCATACATGAATCATGTCATTATAATAACAATTTAATGCCATTCTTTTTCTTACAGGTTTTAACACAATGGAATTTTTTTCAAGGGAAAACATAGTTTTCACTCTAAAATCAAATCAAACTATTCATATTTCATCTAACTTAGCCCCTTTTATCATTCTAATATAACTTAATATAATCTGTATTAACTTGGAAAATCTATTATAACTCAATAGATTGACCTCACCTGGTGGCCGTGAGCTGATTTTGATTAAAGGTGGAATTTGTTTCTTTGGTCTTTGTGGAGGTGAGTGAGGGTCATCAGTAGGACTCTTAACTTCTCTTTCACAGTTATTCTCTGGAGAACATATTTCTGATAACTTTTCTGAGCTGACCAGGGAAATGGAACTCTGGATGTCATAGCTTCTCTTCCCATCTGCTGAAAGAGATATATCTGTAACTTTTATTTATTTTTTTTAATTTTGTGTTACCTGAAATTCCTGAATATGGTACTATGAGAACATATTACAAAAACTACAGATAAAACAGGGCCAATACAGGGTACAGTACTGTAATTACCTTTTCTCAGTACAACAAACTGTTTAATACAATAAATACTACTGAACATCCAAATATACTAAAAACTAACAATTATAAAATAAAATCTTGTATTAAATTAAATCTCTATCTTTATGATCAAAATAGTGCAAGTACAGTACAGTACATACTGTATATGTGACCTGACCCAAATACTGAGGAAAAATCATTACAAAAGGGTGTTTTGAGGAATATACTGTATGTACTAGTCATAACAAGAGTGGTCTGAATACAATGAATTCAACTCAGAGGTGGATGGATTTTTCCCCAGGCACTTTCTTTTATGGAAGTGAATTGGTATCATTAATGATCATTCACATGAAATTTGAGGAGTTAAACAGTGCATTATTTTAGAGATATACAGTAGTTAAACATGCCCTAAACCTTAACATGACCTATGATCTCAGATTGTAGGCCACAACAAACTACTGTAGCTTGAAGAGAAATGATAAGGCATCCTCAGATGATCATGTCCATGATATATATCACCATCAGGTCAAACACACAAAGTCTGGGGATTATACCATGTTGTGACATTTACTTCCTAAATACACACGACTCACCAAGTTTCAGTCACAGGGACCTATTTTGTAAAAATAGTAAAGGGTGATTATGTGGCATTAAGGAGACAATGCCCAAGATATCTAGAGTCTAATGTAACTTGAAGTGTTTAGACAAAAGAACATAGACCCTTAACTAAAAACATAATGTGAATGTACCAGTACAGGATATCTGAAAAATCTAAATTATATAGACAAACAATACAGTACAGGCCATGATATGTTTCACACATTATGCTATACAACCAATATTGTACTAAATAAGAGAGAGAGAGAGATAATGAAGAGTTCCAGAGAAGTGTCTAATTTCAGACTAACTTATAATTTTCTTTCTTATATTCCTTGTGGAGCTTTTACTAACTGCTCCAGCCCATAGATAATACTGTATGTGAATAAGACTAACAAATAAAACAAATAAGAAAAATACTGTCATACAGTATTTACACTCTATTCTAAATTACTCTCACCTAACACACTCAGTTCCTCTTCATCTTCCTCTATGTCACCATCACTGCTCTCAACACCCTCATTTTTATTATCATCTTCACCCTCTCCTTCCACCTCATCCTCCTCCTCTTCTTTGATGACTAATTCACCTTCTTCATCTTCTACATCTTCCTCTTGACTTAGACAATTTTCTCTTACTTCATCTGAAAAGGTCAAAAAGAGTATATAATGACCTGATCTATTTTATAAATGCACATATACTGTAGTACCAGGGTACCAGACTAATTTAGCCACGGCAATGTCATTCACCAGACGGAATCCGCTATTCAAACCTCCATATCAACAGGGAGGAACAACTGTTCAAAACAAGAGCCATTATATTACACTAACACAGATTGGCTTATTTAAGCTCATAATAAATTAGTTCAAGTAAAATTATCATACTTATGTCCGGATTAAAAGAGGTGCCGGACCATCCGTTTCCGGAAAATTGGTGGTGGACCTGTACTTTCAATAGATTCAGTATTTTTTAACTAAAGTGTTAATAGATGTAGGTAAGGATCTAGATTCAAGAAGCTTTCAGAGGTGCAGGGAAGGTTTTTTAAGGTTCCTGAGCCCTGTCGTATATACAATACATATGGGGAATGGATGGCCTTATGCAGTGTGAGGTACAGTGGATGATGTGGATGTGTACAGTATAACTTTGGCAATGAAGTGGATATGTTCGTGAAATCCAATTCGTTCTCGAGAACTTTGTTGTCATAGGTAAATTTTGGTGAGTAAAAGGGAATTCTGTAGTTTCCAATCCTTAATTATTCTGTATTTTACATACAGTACTCAAAAAAAAAAAAAAAAATGCTATATTAAATGCTGAAAACAATATACAGTATTGCACACCATAAAATACAACAGTACATATGAGGCACTCAGCATTAGAAGGGGATGAAGCGCCACCCCGGGCAAAATGCGTTTTTTTATGGATATCACTATTTTCACCCTTCCTCTACATCTTGGCGTTGGATGTATCCCCCTAGCAAGAATAGAAATATGGTTGAAAGTCCTTCAAAAATAGGGTGTCATTTTGCCTCAGGCCAGGAGCTACATATCTGGCTGTGCACGCAGTAAATGAAGGTGGCTACATCCCGTTCAGAGTGAGAGGAGTGCGAGCTAATGACAGTGCGCCTCTTACGGACCCTACCTCATGAGTCAGCCAATTACAATTGATTTCCCTTGCTATGTCACAGCTCCTTGGCCAATCCCCACGCCCAGATGCTGCTTCCTTGTTAGATTTGGCGCGTTGTATAGCAAAAGGCGGTTCAGTGTACTTTCCACTGCTATTTTTTAAAATTATTTGGCGTAACATTGACGTTATTCGTGTTCCACGGGTGTGAGAAGTGCTGTGCAAAGTCTGCCTGATTTTAGAGCAAAACTCGAGTGAAGCCAGGCCTTCTGGTGTGGGTTCAGAAGCCCTAAATCCTGAGCGTGTATTTAGTGATGACAGTGCTCATTTGGACACCCCAGCCATGCTTGGTGATAGTGATTTTGGTGGTGAATATAGTGGTGATTATGGTGATGCAAGTGCTACTGGAGATGGTGCTGGTGATGTGCGTGAGAATGTTGGTGATGAGCTACTTGGTGATGTGGGGAACCTGTGTTGGTGGTAGTGGTGGAGCATCATGTGATGCAGATTGCAGGGGTCAGGAGCGTAGCCCCCCCCCAAGGCCCTATAGAGAAAAAGGCAGGATGAGACAGCGTAGGGTTGACGAGTGGGCACAGGAGGTTGCCAAGCATTAAAGTAATTTGATTATGACGAGGCCATTAAAATTATATGGACTCCTCAGGATTTACGTAACCTCAACTTACTACGATCTTTAGGGATAATAAAACGAAGGAACTAAACAAGGTAAGATTGTAATACTGTACTATTATCACAATACTGTTTTTACCAAAGACTATGCAAACTTTCTCCGCCTTTGTATTCGTATGTTAATTACGTTGGGGGGAGGGAAAAGGTTAATGGTGGGGGATGACTGTAGTGGTTTCCTTATTATTACACACTATTATACTAAATACTGTATTAAAATTTTTTGGCTAATAATATGGACAGAGAGATAAATACTGATAGGCAATTGAGTTTTTTATTATTATTTAATTTTTTGGGGGGGTTGGGAGGTTGGTGTAAGGTGTGTGTTGTTTTACAGTATTAGCCCACAATAAGAAAATTTTGCAGAAAAATGTGATTATTGTTGGTATGAAGATCAAACACCCATACATTATGGGTAATTATTCTCATTCAACTGGCGATAAAATAATAACTATTCACAGTACTAACTTCCAGTTTTCACAGTTCGCTAGGAGAGGGATTGAGCTGTACAATAAAAGGATAAATTAACCCTCTAGCTTAAAAAATAACAAAGTTATGGTTGTTTGAACTTAAAAAATCTTTAAACACGTTTTTCTCCGCTTTTTAAATTTGGCACTTCACCCCTTTCTAATGCTGAGCGCCTCATATTTTATGTACATAAAAATAAAGCTCCTTCTGCCCTTGAACCATCCTAAAGGTGATGCCAAGAGTTGAGCAGTTCAGCCAGTCAGATGCAGCTGACTTGAGCGATGTGTGGCTGCTACGCCGTGTATACCATGACGTCAGAATACTGTTCACACTCATACTTTTTTTCTTTTTTATAGTTTTATATTATTTTTGCTCTATTTCTAAGTCAGATTAAGGTACAGTAATGAAATGATTTTCCTACAACTTTTACAGTTCCACTAAATGAAACAGTGGTAACATGCATAGCCATCTCAAGGCCACAGATGCCTAGCAACATGTGTTATGTAGTGAAGATTATTTGGGTGTGTATGGGACCCACTTTCACTTACAGTGGAGATGAAGCAGATTACCTTTACGATATGAGTTCAGCATATTCAGCTCCAGATTTCTGTATTATCTCGGGAACAGAGCATTTATTGTCTACCATGGGTATCACTTCAAGTTTATTCTTCATGGTAAAACCCATTCTGCTCTTTGGGGCCTTTATTGAACGTACTTGCTTGGACATTGTTCTCACAATGTGTGTTATTTATGTCATTAGATAACAGGCCTGCACTGAGTAATAGCCACATATAGACTGTTGTTGTGAAGCGGGAGGGACCACACGGTGTTCCACAGCAATAACAATGACACGCAAAATATGGCTTCAGATTTTTATTTATTTTTCCCCCAAGATCCATGTCATTACTCGGGTGGTCCGGTACAGTATTATTTTTCTTCACTATATTACAGTACCCTGTATCCCCCCCCCCACCCCCCCCAAAAAATAGGAAAAATAAAATATTGGATGTGTGAACATAATTAATATTCTCATGGTCTTTCAAAGTAGATTGCATTGCTAAGCCCTCCCGAGCTGGCGTAACCCCTTCCGCTCAGCCACATCTCATACTGCACCGAGAGCACCCCTTCTATAAACAGAAATGAGGGAACAGTGGAATAGCCTAATCAACCGCCTAAGTTCCACCCACTAGCCTCATGGACTGGCAGATGCATCTCTAAGGATGCAATTTGGCACTGGATCACTCTACCCAATGTTTACTAAAATAGATAAACTGTTCTTGTAATCGACTCTACAGGGTATTTGCATTGAAAGACTGCAAGGGGTTGATATTTCCTGCTATGACCAGGAGTACTAGGGAAGTTCAGAATTGTGCTCCCCATACCAAGTAATCATCCAGTGACTTACCTCAGTACAAAAGCTACAGTTACTGTGTGTGTGTGTGTGTGTGGAGGACAGCTCAGTTTAAGAAAAGGGAAGGTGTGAGAGAGGTTAACTCCATTAAAATCACATTACTTTCCAGTAAGAAGGGCACCCAAAATGACCACATTTTTCCTCTAGAGAAATAATCTTACAGCAATACATAAATCAAATGAACGTTGGTAATCACTGTGTATTTAGCTATATCCAAGGGACAGTTGCATCAGTATCCGGTGTATTCCAATGACAGAAAAAAAAAATACACATTGCCATATTAGCCTAATCTTTATCTCAAAGAATAGGCTTCATGGGTCCCAAGAAAATGTCAATAAAGAAAAGGCTCAAATCCTTGCCGTGTTGGGTGAAAAAGTTAGACCGAGGGAAATCCAGGATAAGGCAGAGCAACAAATAAGACTGAGGTGCACAACATGCAATATTCCTGCCAATTCTGTTCCACTTTGGAAATCATCTCCAAGGCCACTGACATGCTTATGAAATGAGAAGTGATGATGAATCCAACAATATCTGCAGCAGAAAAAAAAAAAAAAAAACACCAAAACCTTTTTCAAGATGTGTCAGTACAAATAATTTAACACTGAGTGCAAATGCAGCTGGATATGCCATCTCATCAAGCATATGCAGGGATATTTGAGTGCTCGAGTGGTTTTACCACCCAAGGTAACCAGTTTTAAATATCCTCATGTTTCCATCACCATTGTGGCTGATTTTTACCCCCCAACAGAGAGAGAATGTTCACTGGATCTGGTTTATCAAATGATTCATCATGTATATGCTCCTCAAACAACAATTTATCATCATCTACCATATCCAGTTCTACTCCTTTCTCTAAACTTATAAATACATTAATTATTTTCATCCAATATATAACACGCTACATAACTTTCTACTCTACCTGCAATAGTCATCACTAAACACTCTCAAAGTTGGGGGCTAGGGTGGAAGCCATGCCCCTTCTGGTCCAGGAGTAGCCACCCCACTTACTCACTGAGTCACTATTGCTCAAAAATACTAATACATTACTGTACTTTAATTGATGAAATACATTCTAAATAGGATGAAAACACAATTTTTTAAAAAAATTACAGGAAATTAATTCAACCAGAATGTGTTATAGTGTAATATATTTTGTAAAATAAATAAAGGGATACTCAATTTCTACTACAGTACTGTACATGCATTTGAAAAATATTTGATGACTAGAATACAGTACAGTATATACATTATAACCTCAGATATCCGGCATTCAACCATTCATAACACACATGCAACCGGGATTTTTTGGGTCCGGTAAATTTCCAGTAAGTAATGTCTAATCACATTTAAAAAATTAAGAAAATCAGTTTGAATTTGGCACTGCTTCACCCGTACAGGGTAGTTCCATTTCCAGCCACTAGAGGCACTGTGTGTGTCCTCCAGGTTGGTCAAACACACTGCTAACTTGCATGATTGAGCTGGTGTAATTGCTATCATTGCCTCATTCATCCAGCAAACCTTAGACAGGAGCTACAGCTAAGCGCAAATGCGTTGTGCTTACACTAAGGCAGAAGATGGATACTGTATATGTAAGAGACTGGAGAAGGGTGAGAGTAGTCATGTGTTGATGGAAGAATATAAAATAGGTTTGAGATGTGTATTTATCGGAGTAACTCTCAAGCATCCAGAAAAAAATGATTATCCAGCACACTCAATTCCTGATGCATTCTGGATATCTGAGGTCTTGCTGTACATTGCAGTACAGTCAACCCTCGTTAAAATGGACTAATAGAAAGGGTGTCCGTTTTAGCCGATTGTCCGAATTAACTGATTTAGGGGTTAATATTGCATAATATTGCATTATACAGCTATGTGTATGTTTATTTGAGTGCCCCGTCATAGGAGTCCGTTTTCTCTCACTTCAGGACGCCCAAGTCGTCCGTTTTCTCTTAATCTTAGAGTGCACCAGAGACTGTTATTTCTTAGTAGTGACACAGAATTTGATATTGCAACTGGGGTTGCAATTGTTGAGGCAACTTAGGTATGTCTGATTACAGTCGGAATATTCAAGATCCATTGTGAGTGATGTTTAAAGCTTCAACTGTCTTTATGGTTGGTAAAACCTGTCAAGTCTATCAGTCTGAGTGGCATGTGTGAGGCCTTGTGTTTGTACAACAGCTAAATATATAAATATATAATGTTATGGTAATTATCAGAAACTCACAGAGGCATGACTAGGTTTATTACAAAGTGATGAAAAGGATACCGTACAGTGGGTAGTCAACAAAACATGTAGCCAAGTCTCTTTATTTGAGTGCCCCATCATAGGAGTCCGTTTTCTCTCACTTCAGGACGCCTGTGTCGTCCGTTTTCTCTTAATCTTAGAGTGCACCAGAGACTTTGTTATTCCTTAGTAGTGACAGAATTTGAAATTGCAACCCCAATTGCAACTGGGACAATCCCAGAACCAGAAATTTGATATGGACAGTTCAGATTTCGTCCGATTTATCCGAAATCCGGATTAAAGGGGTCCGAATTAATGAGGGTCGACTGTACAGTATTTTTGAAGTTTTACTCTTCTGTATTCCATCAAAAACTGTCATTATAAGATACTCATAAAAATAGAAGAATAAGTCAGTCTAATAATACTAATTAAGGCAAAATATAAAAAGGGGGGGTAAAATTAAACAAAAAGACACTTACTACATCTATGGGTGCATCTGCTTTGGAAAAACAGTGCAACTGCCAGACATACAAAGCAATTATGAACCTATTCTAACAGACCCAACTCTTACACATACCGTATAAACTCGTGTATAAGCTTTCACATGTACAAGTATCCCTTGCTTAACAAACGGTGAGATAGAAAAATTAATTAATACGAATTCCCTAAATAAATATACCTTTTTTTCGTTTGCCGAAAGCTTCTTATGCTTATACATATTTGGGTCCAAAAAAATTTCAAATCGCATGCCCCCAAGAGTTAGTAGAAGCAGCCATCTTGGAAATGGGGAGAGACGTATTCTCACTCAATGATTATAACAAAACCTCCCTCCCACATCGACCCCCCACCCACATCTTTCGTTCCACCATTTCCCACTCCTTGCAGTGAGCCCTGACTGCCCTCCCCCAAGGTAATCGCTCCTGCCATTCAGTTCGTTCATTTGAATTCACAGCTGAGGGTGGTGGTGTGCTTATTTAAGTGTTACATTTAATATACAGTATAACCAAAATTACGAGTTGAAAAATAACCATGACATAGCATATAGTTCATAAGTATGGAATGGTTGAAAATTTCCAAGCTATGTCAACAGATGTAAAAAAAAAGAAAATTACCTGTAATGTTTCATCTGCATCATATACAGTGTATGAAGTTCTGCTCTTCCTGCAGCAGCATGAAGGAAGAATCTTGGGATTTGGTAAGCAAGACCAGAATAAAGAAGCTTACTGGTAAGGCAAGCCTAATGGAATCATGTACCAGGTAGCTATCATTTACTGGAACCTCTATTTTTGGCATAATAATTTTACCATAAAAACTTGAGGATATACGGTATGGTTTTTTTCCCCAAAATACACTATTCATACACACATTTGTTTATGAAATTCCTTTAGAGTTTAAAATTTCATACAGTACGTACTCTCGTTTGCGGGGACTACTCCATTACAGTATTGAAAAAATTTTTCCGAATAAAGAACCTGTATACTGTACTACAAAGTATTCTTTTACTGTACCATAAATGCTTTTAAGTACTGTACTGAATACACCTAATAATTATTCTTAACTTTTGAGGCGTACATTACAAAGAGCCCACCCGAGTAACAAATGTCCATTTTAATACCTGTACAGAATAATCAAACAGGTTTAAGGAATTTATATAATTATTATTTTATCACCAAATTTGCTTTTGAGTCACCCAAAGCTTTTCCAAGTACAGTATTGAATACTGTAAATTGTGAATTTTGTGCAATGTGCTGATTGCAATACAGTATATCCATTTTAGAACTTAATTTGACAGGATTTTTTTTGTTGAACTTGTCATTGCTATTATATGGAGGACAAAAAGAAATTACTGGGTGTGGAGTCCTGTGAATTTTATAATGATTCATATTAAAAAAGAAAAAGGAAAAAAAGAAGATAGTATAATTGTTAAAAATATTTTTTAAACAAATACCAACCATACTTGGTGCAATGGAAAACTAAAAATTATTTAGCAATTATGAAAACCTAACAGACATTCTAATAACTGTATTACCGGTACATGTCGCTACAGGTGCTCCTCTACTCAAGAACGTTCAACCTACAAACTTTCAGAGATACAAACATCATCACTGAGGGGGGGTTACCTGCCAGAACAGGTGTTTAATGTGGATGAGACTGGATTATTTTTAAGAAAATTTCAGATAGAACAAACATTACCTAAGAGAAGAGAGAGCCAGGTTTTAAGGCTGTATTAAAGGGTATAGTTGTACTAAATATCCATAATCTTTTAATTTTTTACAATATGTTTGGTATCTACAAGAGTAAAGTTGGACTTACAAACAGCCTCAGGAACGTAACTCGTTCATAAGTAGAGGAGCACCTGTACTGTTATTAAATAGTTTAACCATTGGTTTAGACCAGTGGGCCCCAACCTTTCATACACTCTGGGCCGTAATTGTAAATATAGTAAGGGGCACCAAAACTTTGGATCTACATGAAAAATAAAATAAAATAAATAAATAAAAAATATATAAACTGTATATACAGTATATATAAATAAATAAATCATATACAGTATACAGTTATTTGTCATTTTACACAAGTCTAACTGTTTAACTGTTACAAGTTACATACTTTCACATTTACTCTTGGATCATGCTGGCGCTCTCTCTCTCTCTCTCTGGGCCCACTTTGTGGTAAATACACACGTCCTGTACATGAAAGATTCAGGACAAACAAGAGTTCCCCTCTCTCTCTCTATAGTTGTATCAGTTATTATTTTCATTATTTTCACTCTGACAAAGAATCTAAATTATTTTACAACGTTTTAATAAATCCTTGCCGGCTCCATAATATGGTTCCGCAGCGAACTACAGATTGGGAACCACTGGTTTAAACCAATCCCCCTGTGGCTGAGGGACTCCACACCTACCAATTTCTTTGTTTTATCCCCCATATAAGAGTAATGACAAGTTCAACAACAACAAAATTGAGGTCAAATAGACTCCTAAAATGAAGATTGTATATCAGCACATTGCACAAAATTCATTGTACTGTATGCAGTAAGTACTGTACTGTACAGTACTTGAAAAACCTTTTGGTGAAAGGGAAATTTGATGATAAAATAATAATAAAAATTCCTTAAACAAGTTGCATTAAAACATGATCATATTGTATATTACAAACATTTCAATAGTAAGCAGAAAACCAGGAATGTAAACTGTATACAGTACGGTACGGTAGTTTTTTCAGCTAGTTCAGAGAGTACAGTATTGAAAATATACTGTACTACACAGCACTGCACAGTTATTGATTGAAATATGAAAGATAAATGCAATTACAGTACAGTACAATAATTGCATCCCAGCTCCATAAAAAAATAAAAAAATAAATATTTGGTAACAAAAAAATATTACCTTTTTAATACCATATTTTTCCACCCTGTCTATGGTGATCCTACTGTTGTACTGTATTCTTTTAAACTAACTTATATGAATAATGAATGATGACAAGTGATCCATCAACTCAGCGAGTCATATTGGTTAACCTACAGCTAAAAATAATAAATTCTAACTCATGAAGAAAGCATCCTTTATCAACAAGCAGTTCACTGCTGCAACTTTGCTTATCATTTTTTATGTAAAAATTATTAAAAAAAAATAAATAAATACAGTAAATACCTTTTGTATTAACCTCGAGCGTCGCTATTGTCCGGGCTGTTTCTTCTTCAGCCACTTGTACCACAGATGAAGCCGAATGAATGGTGACAGTCTCGGTGTCCTCTCCCTCACCGCTACACCCAGTGTCAACAAGCTGTGCCAGTGCCACACTCAGAGAGACATGATCCTCCTCTTCACTGTCTTGCTGGGGCTCCACAATGCTGTGTTCCATGGGTACCACAACTGTGTTGCTTTCACTTTGTGTACCAAATTTTTGAGTGACATTACCTAATAATTTACAATTGTCCTTTTCTGGTGTGAATTTATTATTAATGCTGAACAAACTATCTTTAGTAACTACAGGATATTCTGAAACACTTTCTGTAGAGTTTTGATCTATCACTTCACTGTGTTCCTCACCATCAGAATCATCCTGATGTATTCTTCGAATACTGTTTTCAACACAGGGTTCAGACTGAGGTTTACAGGAGTTTGCTAGTTCTTGCTCTCCCTTGTTCAATTCAGTTTTACTTCTGCCCTCTGATAATTTATCTCTACACTCAATTTGTGTTTTCATAACCTGATGATCACTATAAGGATTTGCAAAATTGTGATTCTCAGCTTGTTCACCATATTGTGCTATTCCTTCACCAATGTCATTATCCTTTTCCTCTATGTCAGAATCTTTACCAGATTTATTACTACAGGTACTTGAATCTTCACCCGATATATTAATATCTAATGACTTCACTTTACTGTATGAGTGACCAAGTACATCCTCTATGTTTCTAAATGCCTGACTGGAATTAACACCATCTGTGAAACTAATTTCTACCCCAGAGGAGTCAACAGTTTTTTTATCAGTCTGAGAATCTGAAATTTCATAGTCTGGAATTATCTCTTCGATAACTGCTTTGTGAAGACAAACTTCATCAGTAAATAAAGTTTCCTCGAGCCCTCTATCACTATCAACTAGGGCATGACATAAAGTACTTGAGTTTAAATTTTTGCAACTACCTTGTGTGGGCACAACACAAGGAATGCCTGTCCGAACATTATCATCATCAAAATCTTTAGATGTATTAGCACAAACATTTCTGCAATCAATAAGAGACTTACTATCTATATATGTAACACTGTTTTGGGATTTGTTGTGGGTTTCATTATCTTCTTTCAGAGAATTTTCCAAAGACTCGAGCATCACTTCCTCTTTTATAAGGGCTTTAGTTGAGTCCTGGGGCAGAGTATCTTTACTGATACCTACATCTCTTACCCCTTCTTTTTTCTTAACCTTTCTTCTTGCATTGCCAGCTTCCTCTGGAGTGATGAGGCCCCTCTTAGTGCCCTGAGAGGGTTTACTTTTATTCAAGTTTTTAGTAAGCACTTTACTTGTTGTCTTTTTTTCTTTAACTTTTTTTATTTGTTTCTGAACATTTTTTCCTTTAACATTTGAGGAAGTAAGTTTTGAAGACTTCTTGGGAACTGACCACACTCTACGCTCAATGGTTGCTCGTCTAGATGATCTTCGTAAAACGCTGCCTTCATTTTTAATACTCTGAAAAAGAAAAACACAAAAAAAAACATGGTAATTGTTCACAATTTATTATGATGCATATTGCCTGAAAATATTTGAAATAAATTCACAAATTAATGTGTTGACTATTATTTGGCAAAACCACTGAGAAAAGTACAGGTAAACCTCTATTTGCAATGGGGTTAGGTTCATGAAAACCCCATCGCAGGTCGAAATATCGTAAATCAGGTTCATTATAGCAAGGTGATCAATGGGACAGGTTCCTGGCCAGTCACAAACCCACATGTATCACCAAGAATTTTTTCCTAGAATACTACTAGCACTACAACACAATTAAACAACACTCACCACATCATTATGAACAAGTCTAGTCAACATCACATGTCCCATTCGAGGCTATGGGGACTCTTAAGATGGAGCCCGACACAATCTTTGAGGAGTCTGAAGAATGGAGACTGAAGGTGTAGCCTTCGTCCTGGCCTTAAAGATGGTGAGCAAAACGCTTGCCAGACACTGCTCACTTCACAGTCACATAAACAAGATAATAATGATGGGGACTAAATTCTTTTACGAAAAATCTAAGAAATGTTGCAATGGAGGTGTGGTAGGGGATTAGTGGGTCTCATATTACTGACCTGATCTGATCAATGTCAGGTGGGGGCGGGGGATTAGTGGTCTCATGCAATATCATGTCGCCCATTGTCAAGCTGAGGGATTAATGGGTCTCATGACCTGAAGATGTCTTGAGTGAAGATGAAAGCAAAGTAGCAAATATATTTATGGCTAGCAAAATATTTATAGGCTTTCATTCACAACATTTGCTCTTATTGCATTAGAAAAATTAATTTGGTACCATTGCACATATGGAGATGCATTCCTGATAAAGTTATTGTTTTCCTATAAGATACTGTATAATACAGTATTATATATGAAGGGTACAGATTGTTACAGCAACTTATCTTTACTAATTAATGAATAATAAATAAACAATATTGTATCATGAATGAGTTATAGTAAAATGAGTGAAAGGTGAGCATTTTGAAGGGGTGATAGGGGGTCTGCGGTCACTTTCTCTCCCAAGGTAGCTTCCCATCCTCCCGCACTTCAATACCTACTATCCTCTAGCATCTGCTAATTGTGATAGAGATGAATTTGATACCATAATGATCCTGAATAAATTCTCTACCAGACTTTCCCAATAAAAGATCCTTACATAGAATACAGGGTATTTTGACATGATATAATGATGGGGACTCAATTCTTTTATGAAAAACCTATGAAATATTGATACCGGAGTCAATAAAATCAGTTCTTATTAAGTTAAACACCATTTTTTTACTAGAATAATTCTGACTAATTTTTTTTAAAAGTTTGGAGCTGTATATCTCAGTGGAATTTTCCAGCGACAATCTCACACGGACTGACACGAGCTGCTTTTATTTACGCAAACACCACCGTACATGTACAATATATTATAAATAAACAAAATAATGTATATTTACTACTGTCGTCTTGAGCCTACAGTAGGAGTATACTGTCCAATCTCCTGAATGTAATATGTAATTGTAATCACTTTTCACATCTTTTAACACTTGTGATGGAGGTGGGGTGGAGGGATTAGTGGGTCTCATGTTACTGACCTGACCTGATGCAATGTCAGGTCCAACCATTGTATATAAACTCTTCTCTCATTTGCAGTGGGGGTTGGGTGAAGGGATTAGTGGTCTCAAATTACTGACCTTCTGATACAATATCAGGTCACCCATTGTCGGGTTGAGGAATCAGAGCGAAAGCACTTCATTGTCAGAGCGAAAGAACTTCACAGTCACTAAAACAGAGTACAATGTGAACTTTAGTGATGTCCTCTCATTGTAAGGAAAAAAAAAAAATACACCGATAATGACCGATGAACATTGAACTCTATTCCTTACACACATGTAACCAAGAAGAAACAACGCCTAGACTGTAGTTCACCTGATGGCCATGAGACAGCGTTCATCTAGAATCTAGATGATGCCTCAGCTGACAAATGAAGTGTGATGTGTTCCATGTGCCGACTGGGCAAGTTGGCAGAATGACGAATATCGTTAAAGCGAGTATATTTACATCGCAAATAGGGAAGTGGCATTAATATACCAGCGGCGTTAAACCGAATTATCATAGACTTGGGTATCAAAAATAGAGGTTCACCTGTATGATGTTAGGTTAGCTTAATACTGTCAAGTCTATGCAAGAAATTCTCTATCCTGAATGAACTGGTGCTCTACTAACACATTCATCTTTTTCTTAAAGTGGAAACCATTCAAGCACACTTTAGTTGCATTATTATTCCTATCATGTATGACACAGTCACTTCAAAAGCTTCAATAGTTGCAGAAAATATAAAAAGATATTGATTACTACTGCAAATAAAAGGTTTACATAGCTAAAAAAAAAAAAAAAGGCATAAAATAAAGCTTTTGCACATGAATTATCATGAGCTAACTACAATTCGAATTTACTGAGGCTATCATTAAAAACAACTATGAAGTATTCACAAGCAAAATTTTATTGAACTCAATATAAGATTTTAAAGAAATATCTGCTGACACACGACACCTAATAGATAACAGATGCAGAATCATTTGCCAGGTGAGTTAATAATATACACACTGTCAACTGCTTCATGTAGGCCTATAAAACAATAATATGCAATTATTTGGTAAATGTTTCCTATAAAGCAAACGTATGTGTGCAACATTAATACGTATACGCACTGTAATGGGATATTTTACAGAAGATACCAGCTGCAATGTACAGATTACAAGCTGCACATAGGGACACTGTTAGTCAAGTCAAGTGATGCATATTGGCAACAGCCAGCACAGGAATGATGAAATAGGAAGATCCACACAAATGACAAACATACAGTACTGTATATGCAGGTACAGTACTGTACAGTATTCACTATGAGTAGAAGGGAGGCACTAGCCCTTAACTGGCAGCTAAGGATGTCTTACTCGCCCCCCCTGCCCAAGTGTAAATATGGATTGGAAGAAACAGCTAACTTTCACTGATAATGACTGCTACTCGTACAGCTAACTTTCACTGATAATGGCTGCTACTCGTACAGCTAACTTTCACTGATAATGGCTGCTGTCGCTGCAGCTAACTTTCACTGATAATAGTTGCTGTCCCTACAGCTAACTTTCACTGATAATGACTGCTGTCGCTACAGCTAACTTTCACTGATAATGGCTGCTGTCACTACAGCTAACTTTCACTGATAATAGTTGCTGTCCCTCCAGCTAACTTTCACTAATGATGGCTGTTGTCCCTACAGCTAACTTTCATTGATAATGGCTGCTGTCGCTACAGCTAACTTTCACTGATAATGGCTGCTGTCGCTACAGCTAACTTTCACTGATAATAGCTGCTGTCACTACAGCCAACTTTCACTGATAATAGTTGCTGTCCCTACAGCTAACTTTCACTGATAATGACTGCTGTCCCTACAGCTAACTTTCACTGATAATAGTTGCTGTCCCTACAGCTAACTTTCACTAATATTAGCTCCTGTTCCTACAGCAAACTTTCACTGATAAAGGCTGCTGTCCCTACAGCTAACTTACACTGATAATAGCTGCTGTCCCTACAGCTAACTTTCACTGATAATGGCTGCTGTTGCTACAGCTAACTTTCACTGATAATGGCTGCTGTCCCTACAGCTAACTTTCACTGATAGTAGCTGCTGTCGCTACAGCTAATTTTCACTGATAATGGCTGCTGTTCCTACAGCTAACTTTTACTGAAAAATAGCTGCTGTCCCTACAGCTAACTTTCACTGATAATAGTTGCTGTCCCTACAGCTAACTTTCACTAATATTAGCTCCTGTTCCTACAGCAAACTTTCACTGATAAAGGCTGCTGTCCCTACAGCTAACTTACACTGATAATAGCTGCTGTCCCTACAGCAAACTTTCACTGATAATGGCTGCTGTCGCTACAGCTAACTTTCACTGATAATGGCTGCTGTTTCTACAGCTAACTTTCACTGATAATGTCTGCTGTCCCTACAGCTAGCTTTCACTGATAATAGCCACTGTCCCTACAGCTAACTTTCACTGATAATAGCTGCTGTCCCTACAGCTAACTTTCACTGATAATGTCTGCTGTCCCTACAGCTAACTTTCACTGATAATGGCTGCTGTTTCTACAGCTAACTTTCACTGATAATGTCTGCTGTCCCTACAGCTAGCTTTCACTGATAATAGCCACTGTCCCTACAGCTAGCTTTCACTGATAATAGCCACTGTCCCTACAGCTAACTTTCACTGATAATAGCTGCTGTCCCTACAGCTAACTTTCATTGATAATGGTTGCTGTTCCTACAGCTAACTTTTACTGAAAAATAGCTGCTGTCCCTACAGCTAACTTTTACTGATAATAGCCACTGTCCCTACAGCTAGCTTTCACTGATAATAGCTGTTGTCCCTACAGCTAACTTTTACTGATAATAACCACTGTCCCTACAGCTAGCTTTCACTGATAATAGCTGCTGTCCCTACAGTTAACTTCCACTGATAAGGCTGCTGTCCTAATAGCAAACTTCCACTGATAAGGCTGCTATCCTAATAGCAAACTTTCACGATAATGGCTGCTGTTCCTTTAACTAACTTTTACCGATGATAATCATTGTTCCTACAGCTAACTTCACTGATGATGGCCACTGTCGCTACAGCTAACTTACCAGTACTTCTCTAACTCGCAGGCAGCAATCACATACCCTTTAACTGCCATCATCGTCTTCAACTGATTTACCAAAGTCGTGCCATCGTCATCCTAGGACAATTGGCATTTAGCGCCTTGAACTTAATAGAAAGTCGATGATTGGTAGATACTCTGAAGTGAGGCACAAGGTTGGTGGAGCCTCAAATCAACTTGCTATCATAATTTTAATTATTTGTAATTATTTATGCCTCATCACCCTCCTCCTGTCCTCACTGGCCCCTCACCCACACCTATGGTGCCACAGCCTGGCTCACCACCTACAAAAGGGTTTACCACCCACTTTGCACCACAAAAACACACCCGCTGCACCACCACAACCACCTTTTGCATTAAAAAACAACCAGCCCTCAGCAGTTGCCAGTTACTCACCATCTCACTTCACAGACTCATAACTCACTGCCCCTGATAAGTACAAGTACAAAGTTTTTATATGGTGTTTATGGCTTATAAATTTTATAACTTCAATTTCACAAGAAAATGGGTACATGGGGGAACCTTGATTTCCCAAATGACACAGTTATTAAGTAAAGGATAAGAAAAAGAGGGTCTTAGGGTCAATTACACTATTTTATAAGTAAAAAATTATATTTTAAATGCCAATGATGACACTCGCAACTGTTAGCACATATACTCTATCTCAATACTTGCAGTCGTCAATGCTTTATCCAATATCAGCATCTTTTAAAATGCATACTACAGTACCTGTACTCATAATTGGATGATAACACAGAACACTATTGTATAGTACAGTATTAGTCTATTCAATTTGCAACACATTTTCCAATTACCTGTACTGGTATAGTATTATTTATAGCTTAGATTTTCCTTTTCCGTTTCAGTGAGTTTCTTACTATCTAAAGTTCCCCAATAGCCAATTATAAACCACAATTTATCTACTGTGACAAACTGAAATAGACATGTTGTAAATATGAGTTACTGTGTTACTGAAGCATTTCTCCTTGTTATCTTAACCCTTCCCCGTCACTAGCAATCTATAGTGTTTCCTCAATTCCTTTGACATTTCTGTACCCTTGATCCATCCTACTACAAAATGTGAGACATGTATAATTAGACATACTGTACTGTATGTACTGTACAGTGTAAAGAATCCTCTTACTTTGTTATTTCTGGTCTTATGTGTAGCTTCATCTTTGTTTAACTTGTCAGGTGAGGTGGTAGTCATGGGGCAGGTGCGAGGTCGCCCAACACCATTGGTTGGTGAGTCACTTACTTTACACTTCATTGTAATTATCTGAAAGAGTAAAAATATGGAACATCTTACTAATGTAATGTTAGGTTACTCAAACTCCTGGCATCCAAAAAACTGCAAATGAGTACCCTTTCTTATTTTCTTCATGGGGTGAGGAATATTCATCTGCTAAACAATAACAGTAAACCCTTTACTTAACCAATATTAAAAATATAATGGCCATTAAAGTCTAGAAGACAAGGAGGGATCCAAAATTTGATGTCACAAGTAGGTTAACATGCATTCTGTTACACTAATATATTCTAAATGAACTGCATTGGAAATCTGTCTTTTTGGCAGGGAGAGGACTGTGTCACCATCATGGGTAGAGGAAATGAGCCACACATCCAGTCCAGAACATCTATGGAAACAATGACATCCAGGCATGGGGATGAAGCCAAGTCTCTGGCTTCAAAGCCAGCCATTTAAAACATCATGAAGCTGAAGCCAGCCATTTAAAACACAATGAGGCCAAGGCTTTTTAAGGCAACATGAAACTTTAACACCAGTAATATTTGGACTGTTTTACCTTACATGTTAACAGGAATACAAATGATATTCTAAGTTGATTTTATTTTAAGCTGATTGTTCTTGGGTTAAGTTTTCACTGAATGTGAAATATTACATTTATTATATCTTAAGATTTAATAAAGAACGCATCATAAGTACTGTATTATACAGCAATACTTAAACACTAATACAGTATTATACATCAATAACTATTACGTACAGTACACAGGTTCATATATTAGCATAACCATAAAAATGGACATTATAAAAGGATCATCATACAGCATCTAGCCAAAGTGAACACACAAATAAAGCACACCATTCTCAATTTCAATAAGTGTTCAGGTTCATTTATAGTTCACTTTATCCCACCTAATGCTATGAGCTATGCCCTTCAGAACAAACACACAAGGAAAAATGCTGTGGTAGCACACCCTTGTATGGTGAAATGATAAATTAATTAAAATATTACAGCAATAGTGGAGCAGACAGTTAACACCTGAATGAATTTAAGAAATTCGTTCATATTCCCAAAGGTGTTCTTTGGATGATAGTAAGTCATAAAAACAATACAACTTTTCCTTTTCATTTTAATTAGTTTTCCCTCTATCTACAATAATGAAAGAAGAAGATTACAGGATAAAACATGGCAAAAACTTGATCATATGGCAATAATATGTCTTCATGCTTTGTATGAGAAGAAATAAATTTTTTTACTGTAAATATTCAGCTGATAGCTAATTCTCTCGTAGCACCGTGTAGTGACGTCTGCTCTTAAACTAATTTGGAATCTATTCTTTGTAAACATTTACAAGTGACAAAGGTGCATCACATCAGGGGTTTTAAAACCATAAACACTGACTTGATTACCTTTTGTTTTCAATTTTATAGACTTCACTTTCCTGGTTTTCATGTTTGTCTGTGCAAATTCCTTTTTTCTTCATGTAATTGGTTCTTGAACCTATTCTATGTATAAAGGATGAAAATCATATACAGTAGTTGGATACAAATCCCATATTATGGGTTTGGATACATTTTCAATTCCTTTGGAGTGTACTGTAATTGGATTCCAAGTGAACTGTATGTTACTATAGTTATTGTTCTTCCTCAAGAGGAGAAACAAGTTAGCCATTGTGTTTTTCAAGTGCCTAGTTATGGAGTCTTGTTTGGTATTGTTTCATAAGTTATCTGTGCCTGTGGAGGATGAAGACCATCTCCTAGAGTTCATCTGTCAACATGACTAGTTTGCAGGATGTGCAAGTGTTCAAAATGTGGCAAAGAATTGACAGTGAACAAGAAGTAGAGTATGTGTTTCAGTGCAAAAACCAATCACAGTCTTATGTCCACAAATAAAGTAAAATTACACCAGGCTGCTTCAAGAAGAGTGCTTTCATTGGTATCTGGTATCAAGGTAAGTTCTTTCTACTTAATATCCCAGGGGGTTAGGTTAGGTTGTTTATCACAAGTTCTGGACATTGCCGTTTACAATATCTTGTTTAGTATCATGAAATTAACATCTCCAGAAATTTTGGTGCAATTCCATAAGTATTTTCTACTGCTAACCATCTCCTCCACCATTAACATCAAGACATTCCCAAACTTCTCTATCATTTGATTCTTCCATGACACAAATCATATCTAAGACTGAAATGGTAATATAAAAAACAATAGGCAGAATTTCCCTGGGGTCAAAATCATTAACCTGTTAGGTCAGGTCATGCAGTCATACATGAATTGTGTCATAACACTCACTCACCTGAGGTATTCGGATGTTTACACTTATTTTGGACAAGACACAATATTTCTGTTCAAAGAAATCTCTTCTTTAACCCTAAGGATTGTGGTAAATTATTTATTTTGTTCCACAAGCATAAAAATATACAATTAAAGTAAAACATTACCACTGCTTTAAACAACAGCTGCTAATACTCACGTATAATATACACTTCACCTATATCTGTAGGTGTACAGTAAATATTTTGAATATTTTTTATGAGGGTAAGTTGGAAATGTTGCTTGTGGGAGAGTACAATGTAGTATAAAAATTGTTTTGACAGTATAATGAACATTTCATACAGGTCGTATTGTGCACTGGGAGTGTGTAACACTTTATTATGAGTTCACAGCTACGCCACAGGTAAATAACTTCACCTAAATTCACCATTTGTTTACATACTAGAGTAAGACTTCATCATAACAGCCACAAAACACAACAATATGATCCTCATACAACGCACTAATTCCTTTTAAATTTACGTTCCAAATATTTGAGGCTACTGTCCTGCCATATCGCTCTATGAAACTTACTTGTTGTGTTGCGAAATGTATTGAAAAATTCACATGTCTAGCATAGAAGCTCGCTCATGAGAAGGAAACGAACGTTCTCTACGACGGCCATTTTTAGATCTGGTAAAAACCTGGAGCAGCAAGATACCGAGGCGAAAGTTCCGTTTTCTGTCCAGCTGCCCAGACACTATAGGAAAACACTACAGATTACTTAATATCTTCAGTAATAAGTTCTCAACCGCTGTCTATTTAACGTGTGTAGTATCTAACAGACATAATATTACTAAATAACTGGATTTATTTGAGAAGCATTTAGTGTATTAGTAGTATAGGTGAGATGTGCGCATTCACCGGGGATGTCAGATTGGGAAGGCGATGTCTAGCACTGCGCATGCGTCAGCCGCCATATTGTTGCCTCGTGAACAAAACAACTCGCTTGTGGAGGATTTTCCTGCTAATAGACCGTCTGTTAAAAATTCTCATAGACTATGTGAGTATTTAACCGTTATTTTGATAATTGTTAGTATATCAAGCAGTGTTTGGCGCTAACTCTCGCCATATTGAGGGTTGGTAGTGATTGTATCTGTGCATGCAACTCTTGTTCCGCCATTTATGTCCACCACAACCAGTGTTTCAATGCCACTTATTACATGACAGGTACAAGACATGCCTTTATGCTACTGTATAAGTCATAGTATGGGACAAGTACTGCAATCAACCATCGAGTAAATTTAATATTTGATGTCTGAAATTAGGTAACCAATCTTGAGTATAACCGCCACATTGGAAGAGGTTGCCTACTTGTGTTACTGCATGTTTAACCATTTAAACTTAGTTACAGTTAAATCAAAAGTAATTAATGAAAATGTAATAAAATATAGTGATTATGTTGGATGTGTAGTAGTACATGGGATCAGAGAACATAATACATGTGTAGTTAGGTGGGAAATACCATGATTTTGGCCCAGTTGATGTCGGGTTAAATATTTTCTATGTTATTGTAGTGAAGTTGAGACATTACTTTTATGATTTTATCAGAAGACAGAAAGGTAATTTGGTTTGTGTAATTTCAGTGAAGATTGGTGTTGATGTGTGTGTTGAGAAGGTGAAATTGGTTGTTGAAAATATGAAGCTCAATTGTATGACAAGACAATAGTTGAATATGAAATAAACTTGAGAGGTAGAGATAAATTGATATTTAGTGGACAAACACAATGATGGTGGATGATACAGTGGTTCACAGACTGCATTAGGATAGTACTGTACTGTACATGAACAACAACATGAAGTAAGTGATGTACAGTTTGTGGGAGATGTTATATATTTTTAATTCATGAGAGCATAGTTGTTCAGTTTAATTTACTCTGTTTTTAATATTATTAGTGAGTACTGTACAGTATATTATAGTACAGTATGTACATACCATTACATTCTAATTTTGTTTGTATTATTTTTTTTAGTTTTTCATTTGTGATTTGTGCTGATATTTTTATTGTGAAAATTTTTAGTTTCATCATTAGTGTAAATTTTGAAGTTATAATGATTGTTAGTTTTTTGTTTCATCATTTGTGTTATTGGTGTGGTTGTGGGTTAAGCTAGTTCTCATGGTTTTCTTACCATGTTAAGTTACCTGGGAGAAATGTATACATAACTCAGAAGAGTATCTTTACGAATGGGTCCGATGAATTTCAAAATTAATATTGTGACTCCTCTTTAGGCTTTATTGTAGCTACTTTCTTTCTCCTCTTCACCGCTGAGCAGCCAGTTAGCCGCTTGGGTGGATGGTCACGTCTTTGTATGCACTGTTGCCAAGTACTGTACTGGGCACATATTGGCTCTAGAATTGGTAGATTTGTGAAAATTATTCATCTGCTGTGTCATATTGTCTAACACAAATGTGTAAAGATACTTTTTTTGTTTGTGTTCATAATGTACTTCATTCCATCAAAGTGCAGTATAAAGAATCCATCCAACTTGAGCAGAGTCCACTGGGACCAACTTCACACAATGGACCAGACTTGAAGATCAGGCATGAATCCACAGGGGTTAGTTTGTGCTACTTTGCTAAAACCCATCAGAATTTTTAGAGTACAGTAAGGTACAGTTTATGCAGTTGTTAGTGTTTTCTTTTAATATACATTAGCTGATGAGAAGCAACCATATGATGACTTCTGTCACTTGCTGGCTCAAATCATGTGTAACTGTGAACTGTTGTCATCTTTGTCATAGGGCAATGTGCCTGATCAGACCTGAACTTGGTCTTTTCTGCCCTTCCTTCCCCACTGCCACCTCCCATTCCCGATACCCCACCCCTTCCCTTCTCTCTGTACACTCAGCCTCTGTTATGTGAAGCCTCATTCTTTTTTTCTTTTTTTTGAGGAGCAGAACTTTGGTGAAGGATCATGTCTAGAAGAACCGAGCAAACCCCCATAAATAATTTGTTTTCCAATAGGTGGTAGCTAACACTGGAAAGCAATGCAAGGCAACATGCATGTTACCCACAGACAGGATTTTAAGTAGACAGCTGACCTTGCTATCAGCTGCAGTGTGCTGGTAGACACCCCCAGGGCCTGTATTCACTAAAAGAACAAAGCCAGCCACCACTCAAGAGTCTTACTTCAGAGTCAATGTCACAATCCCAATCTTGGCCTACCTGAGCCAGAAGCTTCAGAGCTGGTTTTATGATGGACAGCAGGATGTGGTTCAGGGATAGGAAGCTATCCCTGAGGTGATTAAGTAGCTTTAAAACTGGAAAGCTAAATTCAGTTAGTTCTGCCAGATCTACGGTGACCTTCCAAACTACCAAGTATTGGAAGCAGAACTCTGTCTGTGGGACCAAAACTGTCATCAAATGGTTCAAAGAACTCCTCCCAAAAGCAACTTCTGAACCTTGGCCATCTGTGATCCCATAATGTAGCTATAGCAATACACACATGGCTATGTAAGTGTTGTCTGCACTACCTGTCACCATATCCGTGTCTGTTTCTGCCTTGAGGAGGATGATATCGTACACCCGCAGCACCAGGGACAAGATAAGTTAAATGGACTAACTTTACTTCATGCTCATTATAATACGTACAGTGTTGAGGTTAATGTGGATACAGTGTTGAAGAGATACACCCAGCTACACCCTAGAAGACTCACCATAAGAAATATAGCTACTGTATTAACAATGAAGGGATGTCTAATATACTGTACTTTCTACAAATTTATATTTCAAAGAAAGTACAGTTCTGGTAAATTTGTAAAAATAAATTAAATGGTAGAGAAAGTGGCTAGCAAGTTCAAGCAGAAGATAAGCAGTTGCAAGCAACCCAAGGTTAGACCAACTACAGTACTGTACTCCCAATTCATTTACAGTCATTTGGAGTGAAGGCTTGCATGACAGTACACTTCCCAGAGCAATGCACAGCAGTCAACCTGTCTGCCACTGTCAAATATCAAACAAAAGTTTCTGAAGTGGATGAAGATTTCAAGATTCAAAGCTCATCTGAATTTTGATTGCCAGATTCCATGGTGTTGAATCCATAAGACAAATGCATTTGTAAAACTGACACCTTCATAGAACAAAATTCCCTTCCAGATTGTATGTTTATTGTGAAAGATAAGGTATGAATAAAAGGTGCACTTAAACACCATGTTACCTGTAAATGTTATTATGTCATGTGACTGGAAGGTTCGTTTGATGGGGATATTCACCTTTAAACATATTTTTTGGCTGGGTGAAGAACATAATGCTGTACTGTATTGTATTACAGTTAAATTGAAAGCTTTTCTCCCACTTACATGTAATTCCATTTTCCAATGCTGTTTATTTGTACAGTACAGGTACTGTAGTTACCAATTTAGATTTCTAAATTAATGTACAGGATATTTATTTTATATTACCGTATAATATACAGTACCAGTATCCAGTAAATATAATTTTTTTTAATTACCGATTCCACATTATTTGACATTTACTTAAGAGGATACTTGTTAGTGCCATTTTACATATAAATCCCAGTTTCAACTCTGTACAAGCGAGTTGGTGATAAAAAAGGGTATCCAGCCTTCCTGTTGGTGGTACGGCAGTAACCCATGTATCTCTCACGACTATGTCATGGGTTCAAGTCCTGACCCGAGACACAAGTACGAAGAGTGTTATTCGGTGTGACCCTAACCAAACATCACAGGTTTCTTCCGGATGCTCCAGTTTCCCTCTGTACTATCAAAGAATGGAACCATCAGTCCATATGGCTAGAAATCTAATAAGTGGTGAAATAATAAATCAAAGAAGGTAATAATAAAACTTGCTCCAAATTTGGCTGATATGGCAACTTGGACACCAAGGCATCAGGTACAATAATACTGTTGTACAGTGATCCCTCGGTTAACGAGCACCTCGGTTAACGAAATTTCGGTTAATGAATTACCTTCCATAAGATTCCTAACTTCGGTTAACGAGCAATCCCTCGATTAACGAATTCCTTACGAGCGCCCCTCAACATGTTTTCGCTTGCACACTAGCTGTCGTATTAGTCCGCCAATACAGTAATCAGTTCTAGGGCTTAAATTCCTTACTATTTTAGTAAATATCAAGAAGTTTCTACTATTCAATAATTTTAAAAGTCTTATATTAAAATTTTTAGTAATTTAAAAATTATTTAACAATTTAAGTACAGGGAAACTAGTTTTTAGCGTGCCAAACAGCCTCTCAACACACCAAGCAGACGTCAGTCTCTGTGTCTTTTCAGTGGAGGTAACATCTTGCTTCCGTTTTTACAGTGAAATAATTATTGGTAATTTTGAAATTTATTTTACATATTGATGATATATAGCGCAGTGCAGTGTTGATTTAAAGAAAATATTCTTTATTTACAGCAATTAACTTAAAATATCACGTGTTGAAATTGTTTTTGAATCCAGCATGGGTCCCAAGAAATCAAGAAAAGCGATTTCAATCCAGGTTAAGCAGGAAATTATTAAGAAGGCATTAGAACAAATGTACTTGGCAAAGAATATGGCCTGTCGACATCAACTGTGTCGACCGTTCTTTCACAGAAAGACAAATTCAAGGAAGTGAAAGTGAGAGACAAATCTACCAGAGTGTTCAAAGGTAGATCCCAAATAGCAGAAACAGAGAGGTTACTTCTCATTTGGATTAGGGAAAAACAGATGAAAGGTGATTCAGCTTCTACTGAATTTATTTGTGAAAGAGCCAGGGAAATATACAAACATTTAAAGGTAGATCAACCTGGTTCTTCAGGCACAGACTTTGAAGAGTTTAAGGCCAACAAGGGCTGGTTCGAAAAATTTAAGAAAAGGAGTGACATTTTTAGTATTAGGCATGGTGACGCTGCCAGTGCAGATAAGGAAGGGGCAGCAAAATTTTTAGTGGAATTTAAAGAACTGGTGTATACAGGAAATTATCTTCCACAGCAAGTGTTTAATGTGGACGGAACTGGGCTGTTCTGGAAAAAGTTGCCCAAAGGACATTCATCACCAGAG